ACCATTGCTTGAAGGGTGTGCAAGATTGGGCGGCCAAGAATGGCATTGTAGGGATATAGAGTATCCACAACTAAAAAATCATGATTAAGCCTCTGCCTGTTCGTTGCAGTCCCTTTGAAACTGGTAGGTTTATTTTCCCTATGGGGCGAACTACATCCCCACTAAAACTGACCAAAGACACATTAGTTGGGATTAAGTCTTTTTAGTCTAACTTCATCTTTTCAAAGACTTCTAGGAAAAGGATATCAACCGAACTACCACTATCAACTAAGATGTGTTTTACCTCATAGTTAGCAATGACAAGCTTCACGACCAATGCCTTGTCGTGAGGTGGTCGTGAGGGAAGTGAACTCCTCGTAGGTCATCTTCCATGAATGAGATCACCTCTTTGGTCTTTGGCCTTTTTGGTGGGTTTCTCGTCGTCATGCTGTAATTCTTGGATTGAAGCCTTCTCGATGGATGAGCTACACCTGACAACCATCTACCCCCGATGGCTGCAACATAATTACACCTATGAGATATTCTTCCTGGGGCTCATTCCGTTGGTTCCTCAACTGCTCGAGTGGTTGGTTGTCTTTCTTGATAAACTGCTTTAGGTACTCATGCCTGATCAACTCCTTAATCTCATTCTTGAGATCCTGGAAATATTTTGTGTTGTCCCCCTTGGCTTGGTGGAAGTGGTAGTATTGGTCTTGGTTCTTGTTATTTAGGTTCCCCTTCATGCATAGTGGCCACTTGAGGTAGTCCATCTTCTTAATTTGCATGACGATCTCTCCCCTCCTAGTATTTAGTGGTGTATAATTATAGTACTTTGTCAAGGGAGTTCGGGAACACTTGGGTGGCAATTTGGAGCATCTAGATGATGACCTTCTTTCTCATCGACCCCACATACTACTGCCTTCATCACGATCCTCGTCCTAGTTTTTCCTCTTCCTTTCTCCTTGGTCACTCTGCTCCTCGATCGGCTCCTCGATCGACTCCTCTTCGTTCATGTAGTTCTTAGTAGACTTGTTCATGGGTCGGGCCGGGCTTTCACTATGTATTAACAGATTTATCTAAGGCCCGAGCTCGAGCCCGGCCCGACCATCGGGTCTACAACTTGGGCCCGAGCCCGACCCTCATAAAAGGCCGAAGCTCGGGCCTGGGCCCGAGCTTGAAAGTTATCCCATGTTGTTACTACTGCTGAAGTGGTTGAATAGAGAGAGAGAAATTATAAGAAATTATAAAGAAAAAAATAAAAAAAATGTATATATTAAATTATAAATATATATATATATATATATATATTCAATAAATATTGTATTATTTGTATATTTTATATAATATTAAAATACATATTATGTATTTTATAAAATATATGATGCTGAGTCGGGCCGGGCCGGGCTTTTTTGATAAATCCCGAGACCGGCCCGTAACATAGTCGGGCTTACTGTGTTAGGCCCAAGGTTAGGCCCGTGGGTGTAATTACATGACCAAGCCTGACTGGGGTGTGGGCCGGGCCGGGCCGGGCCATCGGGTTACCCGGCCCATGAACAGGTCTAGTTCTCAGCATGGGTGCAAGGTGAGGAAGTCCTTCATGTTGTTTGGGAGTTTTTGGACAAGGAGAATCTGAGGTAGCAATCTTTAACACCATGGATGGTGACAATTACCTGGACAATTGGGTCAAGCCCTCAAACTTGCAAATATTCCAAGTTGAACCTTTAAACATACTCTCGAAGGCTCTCACTGAAGTGTTGGTAAATAGTCATCAGGCTTGTTGTGGTCTTGGTATGTCATTGGTTAGTAGTGAAGTGCATGTTGAAAATCTTGGAAAACTACTTCCAGCTCATGATGGAGTCTTGATGCCAATCCCGAATACCACATCCATGCTATATGGCAGAAAGTGGTCAGGAAAGCCAGGCACATGCTTGCTTCCGAGGCCCTAGGGAGTAGCATAGGGGCTTGGAAGCTCTCCACATGATCTAGTGGATCGGCCATTCCATCATTGGTTTCTAGGTTAAGCATCTTGAAGTCCTTCAAGCGTGGCTTGATGAAGATCTCAACAGATAAGTGCAAGGTAAGAGTGAGCTCAAGGATGTCAGAGGTGTCACATCGGCTAGTCATGCAATCCATGATGTGTGTTTCTTGCGCCTATCTTGATGGGAACCCGCCACAAAGTGAGGGGTATTGGTCCCTTGTGAGGTAGTCACTTAACTATCCATCCCCTTTAGGACATAGGTAGGGTCCTGTCACATCGGCTAGTCATGTGGTCCACAATGTGAGTGTTTCTTGTGCCTGTCTTGATGGAACCCACCGCAAAGCGAGGGGTATTGGTCCCTTGTAAGGTAGTCACTTGACTATCCACCCCCTTCGGGACATAGTTAGGGTCCTATCACTTTGACTTCTGGGTCTAAGCGAGGTCTTCTTGACTCCGATGATGTGGGGCCTATTGGTTCTCTGAGACGACATGTTTCTTGCAATGATTTTAGGGGAGTTGGTGGTCCTGATCTTGAGGTGGCACCTACATGGGTACTTCAGGCTAGGGGAGTCCCAGTGTAGCCATGTGTTGCTCCCAAGTCTACATGTGGAGGTCCATATCTTGGATGTAGCGCATCAGCTCTTGAAACTACTAGGTGTCCACTTCGAATGGGACCACAGAGGAGTCAATGTTCTGCTGTTGTCCCTTAGAAGAGGATCCAGTGATGTTTTGTTGATCCTCTTTCCCATTAGGCAACAACATGTTGAACAATGATAGAAAGTGTGTAGGGATGACCATTTGCACGTTTCCCACAAATGGTGCCAATTGATGTAGCACGATCTGCACTGATCTTTACTAGACTAATAGCTTGGATGTAATTGAAGAGGTTTGTAGGTCGGATCTGTAAAGCAAATATAGTTAGAGAGCCCAGGGAGATGACTTGGGCAAGGGAGCTCCGATGGTCAAGTTAGTACCAAGTTGTAAGAGCGAGAAAGGAAGAGAGAGAGAGAGAGAGAGAGAGCTTATAGTAGAGATCAAAGTAGAGAGTGCGAGTGAGAGTATGAGAGCTAGTGTTAGTATACCGTTGGAGGGAAAAATGATCACCCTTATATAGATCCCAAAATCCAATCACAATGCACTTGATGTATTTGGGAGTAACGGGCCTCAACCACCTATACTTGGGGGCTACTTTAGAATGGTCACCCCGTTGACCAGAGTATCTGGAGGTAACCATTGCCAGGTGGGCGACATGCCTCTACGAACTTAGGGAACATCAAGTGACTCGAACAGATTAGGGAAGCCATGACACGTAGGTCGGTCTTTCCAAGGTCGGATAGCTCATCAGATTGTCGATCATCCAAGTTGAATTGGTAGCTCGAGGCTACTGTAGGCCGCTTAGGTTGGATCTACCAACCTACCTCAAAACGGGGCCTATAGTGTTTGAATGGCATGAGTCGGTCTGGCTTGAAATGTTTCTCTGAGGCCCTACCACGTATGGCTCTGAGGTGTCTTGAGACGGTTTTGGGTCACCACGTGGTAGTGCGTAATTGGGGGGTTACTTTACCCCTCATTAAAATTATTAGGGAATTTAGGCTATGTTTGGTTTGAAGGAAAATGCAGGGAACGGAAGGGAAAGGTAAGGAAACCTTTACAAACCTTGTAGAGGTTCTCTTGTCTTTCCCTTCCTTTCCCTACCTTTTCCTTCAAACCAAACATAGCCTTAATGTTTAGTTCTAGTTAGTTTATGCAAGTTTTTGTGTTAAAAACTTAGGATAACTAGAAGCGGACCCCTTATGTGGTAAGGGTGGGAGATGGAATAAAATCTCTTTGTTATTTGTTTAAGTAATTTTCATATAGAAAAAAAAAAGATTAAGCAATATGCTTTTGTGATTGTTTATTAATGGTGAAAGTGATCTATGCAAGTTTCATAACACTGTATTTGGTTGCCATGCAATTTTATTTGCACTAGTACAAATGCTTGGGAATGCAAATAAAAGAATGCAAGTTCTTGTTTAATTTTGTTTTGGATTTTACTTTATTATGTTTCAAGTCTTAATTTAGGTACTGTTTGGCAAGCCTTTTTTTGGAAGATCCTCCAGAAGATCTAAAGCCAAAAGACATAGTGCCCGTTTGGCAAATATTTTTCAGAATCTGTTGCAAGATATGACAGTTAAAAGACATGATGAGATGAGCTTTTGCAAATAGATCTTAAAAGACCAAAAATTGTTTGGTTGAAATATTTTTCATAAATCACTAGAAAGACCATAAAAGCTGAAAAACCATTTCGTAATGTGATGAACACTTATCAGCAGAACACTTTCAAGCAAATTGGCTGAAACATATTGTTACAAAATTCTCTTCCATGATCTTTATATTTGTCAAATATATGTGAGATTCCATGGGTCTAACTTGGAACTTTTAGTAAGATGTATATTTTTTCCTAGAGAATTTTTCTGTCATGAATTTCATCATTATTGAGTGGGCTTTTTTCTCTTTTGGTTTCAACTTCCAACAGAGAAGGTGCATCAAATTATTGCAAGAACTGCTTTATTTGTTTGCAAACATGGAGGATAGTCAGAAAATTGTGTTGAAGGTGAAACATGGAGACAACCCAACATTTGGGTTCTTGATGCATGATCATCATCTTCATGCATATTTCAGATATTGAATGTTATCAATAAATTATAAACCGAAACTCTGTTATTGATAAAAAAATTAATTATTAGCTAAAACTGACCATGAATAAACTAAAACTCTGTTGTTAATAAAACAAACCAAATTACGACTTTGATATTGTATATCATGAATAAAATGAATTGAAAATAAGTTCATTGAGACTTGAACCTTATAACTCTTTAGAAAACATGCAACATTCAAAACAAATAGCAACAGTCATTTAAAGAGATGATTCATCAGGTGGTAACCGTGGTATTAATCAAATTGATAAAAAAAAACCATGGTATTAATCAAAATTATCAAGGGCTCTTTGTTGGTCAAAGCTCTTCGGATACCATCTTTTCCGGTATCATATATTCCCCCCGCCCAAATAGAAAGCAAATACTTCAGCTTAATCGTTGACACCCATTGGGAAAGCCAGAATCCGCTGCTCTTCATCCCTCCCGAAAGCACTGCTTTATGGGCYGTTTGCCTCAGTTCCTTTAGCTTATCCGGAGCGCCGCAAAGCACGACCAGCTTAGCTCGGCTTAGCCCTCCCAAAGCCCAAAGGCGCCCTTTATTGGCGCTGAATAACTTACCAGAACCACATTGTTCTTCTACGCCTCTGCTGATTGGGTTCCCTGATCCCTCTCCTCTTTACTCTCTGTCTGCAGTCACCAGTTAGTGGGGGGAGAGAGTAACATCCAAGGATCCATCGCCTTGTCTTTCTCTTGGTTCTATTGAACCAAGCAGGCTTCAGTCTTCTTGAAGACGGAGAAAAGCAGTGACATCGAGGATGGTGTTGTGGGTATTTGGATATGGGTCCTTAATTTGGAGAGCTGGCTTTCATTACGATGATCGCCTTGTCTGTTTCATCAGAGGCTATCGTCGAGTCTTCTACCAAGGTCTCTCTCCCTCTCCCTCTCTCTCTCTCTCTCTCTCTCTCTCTCTTTCTATACTTGTGTTTGTTTCTTAATACGAAGTTCTCACTGAATTTAATGGTTCGTGTTGGTTACTTGGCAGGCAGCACAGACCATCGAGGGACTACAGAGTACCCGGGTAGAACAGTGACATTGGAGCCTGCAGAGGACGAAATCTGTGTTAGTACCCATGACCCAAATGCCCATTTTCAATTCAATTCCTTCCTGTCTTCTATTAGTCTCTCCAACTCAGAATCCAAGGTTGTAAAATCCCGAGTTTGAAGCTGAGGTTATGACCCTTCATTGGTTCCTGTGCAATTACCAATTTCACTGAGCGTGAGAACAGTGTAGAGTATCCTATGAAGAGGCATGCAAAAAAGATTAAAACTTGATTGGGAATAAGAAATATAAATGAGTCTGTGTTAATTGATTGATGTTGAATCTTGAACAAGAAGAACAATTACATACTGATATTACTCAACATGTGAAACAAATAACAACAAAATGACAAACTTTCTGACCAATGGAATTTTCTCTTACAATCATATTATAATCTTTTTAGTTATGGTGCTTTACTAAGAGGGGAAAATTTAAATCAAAGTACGATTGGACAAAAACATGGCTGTAGCAAATACTGGATGGCTGCTTTAAGTTCTTGGATTACTTGATTCATTGTGCTAAATATATATATTTTTTTCTATCCCACTGAATTAAAAATATATGGGGGAATTGATTTTTCTCATTCTTTCTGTTAGTTTCCTTCAGCTTTATATTCAATACCACTTATGCACTTTTACTTTACATAAAAATCATGTTCTCATCTTTTGCAAGGTTATAGTGGGGAGTTGCTTATAAGGTCTCAGGGGAGGAGGATGAACAGATTGCGTTGGAGGTATGATTTTGAATTGCTTTATCATGACCTATATCTAAAAGTTTTAAKCTTGTTTCTTATGCCAATGCCTTTGCTTTCATTACATATGATTATTGCCACTCAAGACTCAACAAACAGGTGCTGCTTTCTTTACATTTCATTTCTTTTCTCCCTGATATTTTCCTTACTGCAAATAAAGTATGCCAATTAATATTTTTTGTGAAGATTCTGTTGTACTTATCCATCAGTAAAACAAAGTACTGTAGGCATTCATGTAGGGTTGTAATAATAATGTTTCAAATTCTGACAAAAAAAAGTAGGATGATAAGTCCTATTCAGAAATGTTTCTTACTTTAAATAGAAATTGCAGAGCAAATGAGATCATTCACCATGAGATAGTAAAATTTATGGGCTTTCTTTGCAAAACATCACATGCACTCAAGGATTAAGAACTTTTAGGTGTCAACAGTGAGAGAATAGCAGAATTGATGTAGGACGGGGTAGGGATCCTACTAATTTAAGATGTGGTTTAGGGGGGTAAAAGAAGGGCTTTGGATCTGGGATGAAAAATAAGGGTAGAAAAGCAAGTAGATAGCTTTTTGTTCACTGAAGAATGATCAATAACCTAGAAAGAGAGTCCTGTTAGAGAGAGAGAGAGAGAGAGAGAGAGAGAGCTTGCTGGTAGGGTAAACATCAAAGAGATAGCACACTTAGAAGAAGAAATAGGTTAGAGAGGAAAAAAAGATAAAAATTCTTGATAGCAACCAAAATTAACTATATCAGACTTTATTTCATCAAATCAATTCTTCTTAGATTGCAATTACAGTGACTATTTATTGACTCATCTTACGAACTTGGGTGTCCCTTTACAAGCTCCAATTTAGACTAGGAAATTGACTGAAGTCAACTTCTAATAGCTGCCTAGTCTCTTAGACCCAAGAGGGGGGTGAATTGGGTATAGCTTAAAAACTGTGAAAGTGTTAAGCTCAAAAGCCCTTCCCCCAAAAATTGAATCTAAGCCTTCTTGAATGGTGGGAAGTTGGAACTAAGTGCAATGAAATGAAGGCTTAATGTATGCATTTGTAGGCCTCGACCAAGGTTCAAAGTATCGGCCTGTATCGGTGCTTTTTTATGTTTTATTTATTTTTTTCAAACCGGTTCAGAGGGGTTGGTTTAAGTCCCAGCTACCCTTTGAACCATGGTTTGACCCGATACAACCCTTGTAGGGGTGTATCAGGAAGCCATCATCACGATATGTATCGGTCGATATAGGCCAATACATGTCGATATCTTTGAACCTTGGCCTCGACTTTAATAGGTAGTCGACTACTCATAGACTGGCATTCCATGGCTCAAATATCATAGGTGGTTGACTACACATTTTAGGGTAGTCGACTATTATCTCTCGGTCCGGTGTTTCATGCCTCAGCTATAAGAATGTGTAGGAGATGAGCAGTGGACTCAAATAACTGCAGTAGGTAGGTGCAAGTAACAACATATTATAGCTATCAAAAGCAAATGAACAAGATAGAAAAGTAAAGGCTGCAAACATATTCTTTGTGCAAATGTAATGTAGTTAGTGAGTGTAAGGAGTGTAAGTAGCTGCAAAAGCTTCAGGGCAAGAATAGAGAAAAGCACAAAGAAGGAAGAAACAATCCAGACATATTTGTATAGAGGTTCACCAAAATCCCTTGCCTATGTCCTCTATCTCAGACACCCTCTGAGGATTTCCACTAAAACAACCAGCTGGGTTTCACGGGCACCAACAAAACCTTTATAATTGTAGGTTTTTCAAGGCTCCTACATCCTTGGATAGGATAGACTTTGGTGTGCTACCTAAACTCAGTAGGACTTTGAGTGCTTACCCAATCTAAAGTGGTAGATCTTCCTGGTCTCTACCAAACCCCGACTGGTATTCTAGGTTCCGATCAAAACCTTTCCAAGTGTTTTCATCCTTGAACACCATTCCTTTACATTAGATATTACATTGAAGCTCGGATACATGAATATGCCTCTTAGATAGGCTGATGAAACAAACACAAGCTCAAACAGTAGCCCAAATGCAAGATAATACTTTGAAAGAACCAGGGTTCAAATGGTGCAAATCTTCTCTCAAAAGCTCTAGGGTTTTCACCTTCCAACCCAAGGGAAACATAGAAGATCTATACTCTTGTAAGCACACAAATCCTTTTGGTTTACTTGCAAAGAATCCTTCCATCTTCACATGATTGCTAGATGTTTCTTCTTCTTCTCACGTATCTTTATAGGTTCAAGAATGTAACTGTTTTTTGGCTGTTATTTGAATGTTGGAACTCATTAATCCTTTGTTGGTACAATTTCAAAATGTTGTCCAACTTGTTTGAACCATTTCCCAAGGAGGATAGAGCTGTTGGAATTCAAATGGTCTAATAGAAATAATGTGAGAAGTTTTTCTTTGTATTTTAGTTGACTAATACGAGCTGTCAGTTAACTACAATGCTCCTGAATCATTGCTGTTAAGGGTACTTGGCTATGCTGTGATTTTGCTCTCTCTTGTCAAGGGTAGTTGGCTATAGATTTTGGGTAGTTGACTAAGTAGTCGATCAAGACTACAATCAGTCTTGAATTCAAAAGAAAAGAAAGAAGAAATTTCAGAAGAGAAGAAGAAGAGAGGGAGAAAAGAAGAAGCACACGAAGAGATTTTGAAAAGAGAGAGAGGGTTGATTAGTTGATTTGCCGACCCACTCTTAATATTTATATATGTTGACTAATTGTAAAAGGGCTGAATTGCCCTTA